ACTTGCCCTATATTTCACGATATTCTATAGTAAATCAATTCTTCTCATTTCTTCAAACAAAATTTGATTCAAAGCACCTTTTGTGTGAAACGTGATTTTCCAAATATATGTTTTTTAAATTTGGAATCTTGCTTATCCCACTCCTGGAAAACAGCTTTATTTTTTAGATCATTGTGGTCCACCCATGAACCATAGTCACGCGCCCGCGATTATTGATGATCTTTAAGACTTCGTTAATGCTTTCCTTTCTCCGGGTGTAAATTTCCGGGCTTAATTAGTACCCTTCTCCCGAGCTAAAGCCCGGAATGGCGCGAATTCCATTGGCTCGGGGACAAGACTACACATGGCATCACAGATAACTCGGTCTTCTCATTTGTTCTCTTGCAACACAATTGCTCCTAGCTCAAAAGGACGTGGCCTCACAAACAATCTACCACCTCGCGTCTGGATCTAAATAACTCCAGGTTTCCTGTTCTGCGAACCTACGTTTCAGTTCTCTCCTTTCAGTACTCATTGGCTTTGCAACTGTTGCGATATCTGGAATAATTCTTCCATTGAAATTCACCAAGTCCAAGAGACTCTACACTTCTGTTACATTCTGCGGCTCTCGAGCTTCCACGACCGCTACCGGGTGGCCAAAAAAAAAGTACTCCTGTTTGATTCGTAATAACATCTAAACAAGTATAGCTTTTAAAGAGAAATAACTTGCATCAAATAGAGGAAGGACTAACTTAGACTTTGATATATTACAGTTGTATTTCACTTACAAATTCACGGAGATATTAATCTTTAAATTCGGGAGGATATTTCTGGATGTGTCTGAAATATGCAAAATCGGCGTATCAAATATTAATCAAGATTTGCCCGACTGAAACATGCACTATTACCAGTAAATAAATGACACTTGACAAATTGTTTATTATGAAACAAAGTATTATTATATCTACAAAATACAAGCAAGATTCATTCGTTCGAAATTCGCGTGTGTTCCTAGCACGAATACGTTTCCTTATTTCATGAGACCACTGCATCGCGAAGGATCGTCATTGGATCGTTCGTAGTTCTGAATTAGGGCATGCTGTCACAACGGAATTGTGAAGCTCTTCTAACTTCTGCAACGTTCTGAAATCTTGTTAAGAACACACAAACTCTTTTGCCGTTTCTTAATCTTAGCAAGTTCATGGAGTAAACTGAGAATTATATGAAACACAATCAAACCATACAACTCCATAAGACATAACAATTAAGCAACTCCCCAGAGACATGCAACATTTTTGGAACAAAACGTAACAAAATAGTAGCGTTGATACGGTGATGTGTATTTGCAAAAAGCAATATTATTTCCTTCAATAAAGAATATTCATCCTGCTCTAACCGAGAAATAATCTACTCAGTCTGTTTGAACCCATTAAAAACATAAAAAAATTAGGCTATTTAAGAATACGAAAAATTTAAGCGCCTGCCTTCCATGGTCAGTCTTTCATGTACATTTAAGTTTGCAAAGACCTAATATTAAATACTTGCATAATTTCAAACGTTCATATTTCAGGAAACAATGAGCTAAGACTTACATGTAAGATGTCTAAATCTACGCCATATCCCTTACAAACCTTAACGATAATTCGCTAAAATACAAGTTAGCCTAATATGTCATTAAGCAAACAAACGCTGGAGTTAATATTTGATATGCCGATTTTCGCTAATTTTAGACACATTCCAAAATATGCTCCCCATTTTTAACATTAATATATCCGTGAATTTTTAAGTTAAATACAACTGTAATATATCAAAATCTAAGTTAGTCCTTCCTCTATTTAATGCAAGTTATTTCTCTTTAAAAACTTTACTTGTTTAGATGTTATTACGAATCAAACAGGAGTACTTTTTTTTGGGCCACCCGGTACAATGAGTCAATGAAAAGAAATAAATAATTAAAGCCCCGGGGGAGTTTCAGACGTAGTTGTCGTTCTGTTTACAACGGCAAATCACAGATTTTCACGTCGTTTATACAACGCCTGCATTTGAAGCCGTAACAAGTGCAACTTGAAATTCGGTTCAGTAGAACTCTTCCCAAACATAAAGCCAATGTTTTCAACTTCTTATACTGTATTAAATTCATACGAATTATAATATACGACAAGTTTTCTTTACTATCATTTATTTGAAGGAATTTGTTTTGGCCGTCGTCGTCGTGTTGCCGTCCTGCATGCTTAAGCTCGCTAATGAGAACTGGGTGTACGGCCATTTGTTGAAGCTTTCTCAGTAAGACGTTATGATCGATCCGATCAAAGGCTTTTGAAAAGTCTAACAGGCAGATCCGTAATGATGAACCAAGGTCATCGCACGCTTCGTACCACCTATGGAGGAGGTGGACGAGAGCCATACTTGAGCCTCCTAAAGCGCCAAACGGGTCGATCTGTCCTATGATTGATTGGAAAAGCCAGCGGTAAGGAAACGACTCCAGAATTTTGCTAACAATGGCTGTGAGGGAGATGGGACGAGAGTCTGAGCCGATGTCTTGAGCGGGGGAAGATTTGGGTACTGGTGAAACGTTAGTTGATTTCCACAAGGAAGGGACAAAGCCTTGACGGAGGGAAAGATTGAAAATGATCTTGTTCATAAGCCAAATCAATCCATGGTACAACGTCATCGATATCTGTAAAGGTCATATCGCCAGACTTCGTAGTTGATGAATATACTATCTGTTGCATCCACGCTGTACCATATTTTGGTGTAGTAATAATTATCACATCAGTTGGTCGAGGGATAAAACTTAAGCCTTTCTGTCTGCATTCTCTTGTAATGAAACGTGATAACGACGTCTGTTTCATCAGGTCCATGGCTGGATTGGACAGCTTTCCCTACGATGTCGCCATGTCGACATTCTACCCATGCAACCCTTACTCTTAGGGAGGATTTGCCAAATATTATTATCATAACCTTTAACGTTTTGTTTTCTTTGGTCGAAACAAAGACATCAAAGGGCCGTTTATAACAATGTTTGGCTTATTTATTCAGCAATCTGGTAACCCTGCTCTTAAATTGTATTACAAATCGGTCAACGTTGAACGTACGTGGACGATTGTAATAAAATAGTTAAACTCGCTTATCGAAACGATATATATTAGAGGTCTAATTTATGCGCATATTAAAACTCACCATCTTGCCAATCATAGAGTGGACACAGCGGCAAATAACGCTCTCTGATTGGCTAAAATCTCGTTGCCCGGATGTAAATTCTGAACCGATATTCTTATCGCTGCTCTAGCGGTATTTTAAAAATTGTAATTAAGCTAACTCCTAAATTCTAGAGTCTTTCGTTTTATTTTTATTTATTTAAGGCTATAAAAAACAAATGAATTGCTGTCTTCATGTTCGCAAAACGTCCATACTTTTTGTGCCGCTATTTCAGTTTTCGGTCCTCGCTGATATGCTGATTTATATACGACGAGTAGCTATACTGTAGCTTTATCTGTGATCAGATTGCAGACAGTCTCTATCGCTTTGGTGGACAGCGTGAGAGAGCCCTGGGCCAAAGAATGCAAATCCTGGGCGAAGACAAGTGGTGTTCCAACCAAAAGTGTCCCAATGTTAGGACATTTTCAAAATACGGCGTCGAACGTAGAAGACACAGAAGTGTGCAAGCGGGAAGGTGATGGAGAAGCCGAGGAAGAGGGAAGCGACGAATTTAGTGGAGAACGATGATCAATAAGAAATCTGTTCTTGTTACCAAATTCGAATTCGAAAAGGCCTATACATCGAAATAGAATATTTTTTCATAACACCTTACATATTACGTATTAAACTGCACATTTTGATCAGACCAGCTTTTGGCTGGTCGGTATATGGACGTGCTTTGTTGGTAATATGCCCACACTGAAAATCCATATATATATATATATATATATATATATATATATATATATATATATATATATATATATATATATATATATATATATATATATATATATATAAATTTATTTCTCAAATTCATGAGCAATTCAGTCAATGATAATCACCTATTTGATCACAAGTTGCCATTTGGATAACCCGGTGAAAGTTGATGAAAGTCACTAGTGTTTTCATCAAATATCTTAATTACGCATGCAAAATTACTTGAATCTCTAATTCCTAATTACGTTATGCTTGGTTAGAATTATATTGAAATGATCAGCAAACGAAAACATTCTGTTACGTCCCGATTATTTGAGAAGCCATATAAATAACTCGAGCTCGTGTCTCACCGGGATATCCAAACACTCGAAAACAAATGTATACGTTGTAGTTTCTCGTGTTTGGCTATCCCCGGTGAAACACTCGCTCTCGTTGTTCATATGTTACATAACATCCGGTTACACTTCGTCGGCATGCATACATAAAATGTAATATAAGTATATAACATTTAAATTAAGTATCATGTTGCATGGCCACAATGCTCGAATTGGCGTTTTGTTTATTTATTGAACTAAATAAGGGGAATTAATGGATTCCAAGACTTCAAAACACAAGATTTTAGTTGTTCTTCCAAACACAAACGATAGAGCCGAAGCATTGAAATTAGATCCGTCAAAATACGAGGTTCATTTCATACACGCTTCGGTCGAAGTCAAAGACACTGTCGTGGCGACATTTGAGTATGCTAAATTTCTTGCTCAACCAGGCTTTCTGACTTTGTGTGTCGATAGAGCTGTGAGATATGTTAAAGAAAACGCTATTACTGCAGTGGTGTTTGGCCACGATCTATCTTCTATCGTCGCTTCGGTTGTCTGCCAAATTACAGGCTTACGTGGCCCCTCATTAGTTTCGACGTTTCTGTGTTTACACAAGTATTACTCGAGAAAAGCATGCAGGGATAATCTGTGGGTGGACTACATCACCCTTGATGACCCTGTGGAAACATGGCGGGACAAATTGAAGTATCCTTGCTTTCTCAAACCACCGTTTCTTACGCAATCCAAAGGCATGTCTGTGATTCGAAACGAGCAAGAATTAATGGCAGCGATTATTAAAGTTCGCCCTTTGGTGACCCCTTTCTTTAAAGGCTATTGTGAACTGTTTGAAAAATACCTTGATCTGAAGAAATTCCCTCTGGCTGTTCAGAACATCATGATTATAGAGGAGTTGGTTGAATCTCCTGATCAGTTGGCTCTTGGTGGTTGGGTGGACGGTCAAGGAAAATATTTTGTATTCGAGAGCTGGGACGCCGAACTATCTCCCAAAAAACAGGAAACTCTTCTGGGTTATGTAATGCCAATCTTTTCAAAAAGCAAAGAAACGGTACAGAAGATGGTGGAATTTGTGCAAGAGGTGGCAAAAAAGTTTGACCTTCGCAACACCTATATTTTCTTGGAAATGTGGCATTATAAGGAAAATTTCCTTGTAGTGGAAGTGAACTGTCGCTGTTCAAGTGTTTCAGCCGAATGCAACAAGAGTGTGCAGGATGTGAGTGTATACGAGATTGCCGTGCTCGTTGCATGCGGTGACTTTGCCGCGTTGGAAACGAAACAGGCTCTACTTGTTTACAAGGATGGTCAGCCGATCACTGGACTGTTCAGAGTGTACACGTGTGGCGAAGGTAAGGCGGATGAATTTTTGGACTTTGAGTACGCCAGAAACGGTTGTACACAAGATGGAGTTTTTAGTATCACGGGACCTGGGGCAATGCTGTTAGTTTCTGGGAACTCGTCAATCAAACAACTATCTGGCAACGGCTGGCAATTGGCCTATTATTCTGTTGTCGAGAACAGTGTTACTGACTTATTCGCGCGTGTTAAGCTCGTGGCCGATAAATTATTGTTGAGGCAAAATGATCGTGATTTGATAATCTATTCATTACCAGAATGACAGCCACTTTTCGAATAAATTATGCAACTCCTTATGAATCATGGTGCCGTGTCGTCGCTATATTAGAGAGATTCAGATTTGACTTGCATTACTGGCACTACCGCTCACAGGCTTAATTAATACATAATTATTTGATTGGTAAATTGGGTAGATTCCAGATGATCTTGATACGCGGAAAAGTACTGGCACTAGTTGTCAAATAGAAATCCATTTTATGATTAAAACAACTGAATATCTCCTGTAATATACTTTATTTCGATTCCATATTTTTGTCAGAGCTAGAGTTCTCATAACCAAACATAATTACAAAATTTCAACTAGTTTCATAAAGAATAACGAAAGATATAATTGACTGAATACATCAAAATGGATTTCTATTCGGACAACCCTTTCTGAGCGCTGATTGGCTAAAATACGAACACGAGATCACCTGGTATATGCATCTTCGATAGGTCAATGGTAACGGTAGCGGTAGTGGAAGTCAAAATCTGAACAATAATAAATTTAGTAAATAATTAAAGTATATTTCCACTTTCTTGTACAAAAGTTACAGAACCGTCATTGGAGAACATTATGAGAAATGTTTGTACAATTTACCATTTTTTTAGTCATATTCACTGAAAAAAATTTTGAAAATCCATAGAAGGCCATAGAATGGAAATTGTATACGGACCTTCATTGGAAATAGAATGGATTTTGATTATCCATATAATAATTGTATATTCCATATTATGGATATAGTATCGAAATGATATACTATGGATTTACTGTGGTGCAATTGCAAATTTCATAGCATGGATTTCACATTTTTTTCCCAGTGAATAATTGAATAAAAAAACTTTGTTCATCTAGCAATAATTTATCAAAAGTTACGGTTACGTTTGCACTATGCTGCATAGCTTGTTGTAGCGGCGCGGAAAAGCACCTATCTGATACTGTACGCAGTGTATAACTTTCAGAAACTCTGAATTAAAGTGTAAAGCGTAGTTATTGCAGGTTTTCGTAACGCTTCTATACTGATTCAAAAAGTGGTTCAGAGACTAGAATGAATCGATTGGAATTTATCTTGAAAGAGAATTGGTGCGTATGAAAAATTGTAGGAATTTTAATTTGAATACAACAATTGTGAGCAATAAGAATGGTCACAGTAGGGGCCTTTTAAAATTAAAACTTTATTGAATTTCTGACAACTCATAAACACCCTTCTTGTCAAGTGCATGTCCAAAGCGAACCAAAAATTGGTATCAATACTCGTTTTGGTTTACATTCGTTATCATGGCTAAAGACAAACCACTTTGGTATCACGGAAGTATAACGGCAGACGAGGCCACGAGAATTTTAACGAAAATCAGAGAACCTGGTGCCTTTCTCCTCCGTGATAGTCAGAGTACGGAAGGAGCGTTTACCCTGTCTGTGTCGTGGTACGTGCTCTTTGAATACACTTCATTCTTGTAAAGCATGTTAGATATAACATACAAAATACTTATCTGAACAATTGAAGGGCGAAATTAAGCCAGACTTAAGCAAATATTCCACGTTTTGCTTGCTGTCTAGTTAAAAAATCCATGCTGAGCGGAAGTAAATATAAGTCAGTCAAATTGAAGTATCAAATGAGCGGCGATCAATGCTGATATCGCTCGGTGAATTGACACGTGTGCATGAATACGAGCCAATGACAATTTGTCAAGGTAGATTTAGACTTTGAATGGCACAACACTCACAACGAAATGTTTGGCGAGAAATGCATTGCGACACGACTAAATATTTCGACATTAACATTCATATGGATGATTGCACATGGCCAATCAACTCGTTATACTTTCTTGCATTCACTGTGACTCCTGTGAGTACTGAGTAGAACAAATTCTTGAGCCTCATTTAAAGTGCCTATGACACGAAATTTCACCCCGGCCAAAGGTTTATGGTTGCATTGTAAAGATCACTTAAAATGACTTAATAGTTTCTTTTATAGAATTTTGGTAACTTGCTCCCTTTTCAAGATATTCAACTTTGTTTCATATGCAAATATCACCGGTGTGACATCACATCACATCACATCACATCACATCACATCACATCACATCACATAATGAGTTTGCAGAAAAGTATAGTTTCCTTGACGAATACGTATCTAAAAAACTTAAAAATTGCCATTGTATATGTATTAATTGCATAACTGGTAATTATAAACCCTCTGTATTAATTTTGTTTGTAAAAATATTTTATCAAGGTAAAATATTGCGTTTTCAAAATGTCATTATGCGATGTGATGTCACACTGGTGATATTTGCATATGAAACAAAGTTGAATATCTTGCAAAGGAATCAAGTTACCAAAATTCTATAAAAGAAATTATTAAGTCATTTTAAGTCATCTTTACAATGCAATTATAAACATTTGCAATTTCGTGTCATAGGCAGTTTAACATTCGAATTAAATATTCACATTTCGTTCAGAAAAAGATAAAAGTGTTCAGTCAACAATAAATTTGACATGTTACTTTTCATGATCACTTTACAGTATAATGATTTCGTCGAAACCATATTATCACCTCTGACAAAACACTACACGATTGAGGAAGGGTTTTGTAGATGGAACTAATTTCGAGTGTAAATTTTATACATTTACTAACCAAGAGCAGTTTGAAAAATACAATTATAGGCCCTCTGGCAGGAATCCAACTGAGCTACAGCTAGAAGCCTGTTGTCGAGCTCTAACCGCAAGTTCTTGTGTAAATACTAACTAGATGCCAGAGGGTAAATATTAAGAGTGCACTTTGCATCTCACGCGATTGAATACTAGTTAGAGGCTAGCCTCCTCCGCAGGCCTCTCTATGGGCTTTAGCCTGCAAATGGGTTTTGAAAACATTTTCTCACCACCCGATTCCTCAGGTGAGATGCTTGCGGAGGAGGCTAGTTAGAGGCTGTGGTAGATGGAAATTATCGAGTGGAAATTCGACTGGACTCTGTAGCTCAGTTGGTTAGAGCGCTGCTCCGGAATCGCAGGGCCGCAGGTTCGACTCCTAGGGCTAGGGACCTTTGCATTTTTCGCAACCGTTCCTGGTCTAATAAATGTATATTTCGCATGCGCTTACAAAACCACTGCGGTTCATGCATCGCATAAAAACACGGAAAATTACAGAAACCTCTGCAAAGGCCTGCTAGTTCAACGTTGCATGCATACGCCGAAAACGGCCGAACCTGCAATACGAATGAGCTTAAAGGGATATGGCAGTAAAAATTAACTTTGTCTTATTTTAAAGAACTTTTAAAGTTATATATGCATGAAGACCTTTTGCAACTTTTTCGTAACTTGCTTGGTTTGACCAAAAACAGTGTGCAGTCCGCCATCTTGCCTCTTGGTATCATAATTGACCTAATTAACTGAGTTTTTGATGACGTCAAAAGCAGGGTAAACTTGTTAATAAAAACTTCTTCATGTGGGACTAAATTTCTTCGAAAAGATTCTTAAAATGTTCTGAGTTAATTGAGTACTTATAAAAGATTTTGGAAAATCGAGTTTCATATTGGTAATGACATGTAGTTCGCGAGATAAAAATTTCCCTTTTTCCCTGCTTGTGACGTATGCATATCGAATGCATGTCCAAGATGGCGGAATGTGTCACGAGTGTGGGACATCAAACTATTGCCAGAGCGCTCAAACTGCAAGCAGTGAGCGTGCGCACAATGCGTAAGCGGCAATGGCTCATCCTGTAGGGCGCTCATTATGACCTGAAGGCCATAGAGCGATATCTAACTACAGACGGTACCGTTTCGGCCTTTTGGGCCTAATCAGTGTAGTGCTGATGAGCAGGATGAAGGTAACTACTTGGCAGACTAATAGTCATTCATGAAGACTGTTTGATGCAGAACAAGTTTGTTTGTATGGGTAATAGGATAATTTCGAGTGCACTTTGTCTTTGGATAAATAAGCACGAGTCCGAAGGACGAGTGCTATTGGAGGTCTTTGGAAAATTCACGAGTGCTTGTTTTATCCAAATTTCACGAGAAACTATCCTATTACGTATTAATACTATACATCAAAACTGATTCGAGACAATTGTGTAGTTTTAATTTACGTTGATTCAGCGAACCGTCCTCCACTGACAAAGTTTCCTCTTTTCTTAGATCACATTTTACAATGCTAACAGCTTGAAAATTTTATTCAACTGTATGCAAGTTTTGTTAGTGTTGTTTAAGTTAAAGTCTTTTCCATTTTGAAAAAAAGATAAAAGCCACATTTTCCACTTGAACACAAAAACGTTTACTTTATGTAGCACGTATTATAATTTGTTTAAATGCTTAAATCATATGTAGTTCCGTTGAAGAAGCTGGAAATTTTGTCGATGTTCAAAATTACAGAATTGTGAATTATCGAAACAAGGTAAATTTGCTTTCACATTTTTTACATTGGTATTGCCAAAAATCCCTTTTATAATTAGGTTTGAAAGTTTGAAAACTTTTATGAAACTTATATTAATTTAAAATAATTATATTATAATAGCTTGCATGCATGGCACAGCATAAGCTTACAATAGTTGAAATAGTTCCATTATTCACAGCAGGCATGATGATGTGTATACAAGAATGCATATTAAAATTTACACTCGAAATCTCCATGTACAAAAACCCTTCAATAGTTAGTTCTATCACGCGCCCCAAATCCATGCAGTATTTATTTACTTTACCCTTTTAAGGTTGGCTTACACTATCAAAGTTTCTGTGATCGCAGTAGGATTTTTCGGCATAGGTGATTCTAAGTTCTGATTTGTAAGAATCTCTGAGGGAACCGACTCATTGTTTAATTAATACGGAGTCAGTTCCCTGGAATATTTGGCTTAGAACTTAGAATTTATACCTATGAAACATGCCTGCATGCTGGATGTGTCACTGATCACAGAAACTTTCAAAGTGTAAAGTTTACATTGACTAACTAAACGTGTGAATAATGGCAATTTCCAATTTTCAACGATGACCAAATATTAAGGCCCGTTTACACTTGCGCAATTTATGCTGCAATTTCTAGTACGATTTTCTTCTTTTAATGCATGTGAACATGCAAGTAGATGAGTTATGAATGATCTGAGTTTTTGTACCTTCATCTGAACATTCATAATTCATCCACTCGTTCACATGCATAAGAAGAAGAAAATCGTACAAGAAATCGCAGCAAAAATTGCAAGTGTACATGTAAACCGACCTTTAGTGTTATCCGCCATTTCACCCTTGGTTGTACTGCAATCATGTTCCGCTAATTTTCAGAAATATCATAAATTGGTATCACGTTTTGTTTTTCAGGCTGGTAGAAAGAAATTTCCCTCCATGAAAGATTTAGACGAGTGTCTACAGAAGCAGACAGCACAACGTGGAATAATGCCACCAAGTCTTGGTAGACCAGTTGAGAAATCCTGTGCGTTTATTGATTAATTATCAAACTAGGTTATCTAAAACACTGCAACAAACACTGATTTGAACAAAATTACGCAATCACATGCAGTGACTCGAGATTTTGAATAAATTTACTCATTTTTTTTAATATAATAAAACAAATCTTTACTCAGCAAAAAAATTCGTTCATTTGAAACTTTACTAAAAAATTAAATTTTCTCCACCCAACCCCAGCACTCATTCAAAAATTTTAGACCCACCGTAACTTAATTTTGTCAATTTCCATTTTTTTTGAAAGCTAAATTGACTTATTTGAATTTTGGAGAACAAAAAAGCCAACAAATATGAACTCTGTCACTTTATCATGACTGTTATGGCAGGTTCAAATAGAATACTTTGCAAATCGATATATAAAGTAAATGATATTTATTCGATCTAATACAAATATTTTAGTATTTTCCGACTTAATGATTTTTACTTTACCCACCCCTTGACTTAGTGAATTTTTATTCAACCCACCCATTTCCACCCATAAAATTTTGTTTACCCACCCATTTTCTCTTCAGCCCCCCCCCCCCGGCCATAAATAATGACCGGTCCCTTTGTGACATTATTAACATAATATGCACGACAAACTTCCTGAATTCTGATTGATTTAAGATTTAATGAGGATTGAAATTATTTAAATTATTTCACGAATAAGAGCGCACGCATGCAGTAAATGATTTCGTTCAATTTTGACAAAACTGTGGATCTTTATAGTCGCTATAATCATGCAATTGTGTAGATACTGGTCAAACAATTGACAAAAATGGCCTAAAACGATGTAAATGATTTATTTCTATTATATTAATATACCTTTATCTTAGTTATTGTATCTTTCGCTCTTTGGCTGAAGTAGGATATCTTGGAGTTATGCTTAATAAGACACCATTTCCTTGTTATAGCGATTGAAGAATGGGAGAAGACAGATGTTAACTGGCGTGCTAAGTTTAAAGTGCATGAAGGAGAGAAACACACTGAACACAAAATCAAAGGTAAATAAGACTGACAAGTCTTCTTTTGATGGCGTTCATAATACAAAGCCTTTACTAAATTTAGACGATAACATGTTCATTTCATTCTTGATATACACATGCCAAGGTTAAGCCTCGCAGTAGCTCGGAAGAGTGATTTTCATTGGCTCAATTTGACAATTGCTTTTGTGTTTACAACAATGAATTGCTTCGTTCTTTAGAAAACCCCCATCCAATTGGAGACGACCTTCCGAGGCACTGCGAGGCTTCCCCATACGATATCTAATCTTCCTATACTCTAGCCATGCAAACCCCAAAACTCTTATCTTGCAATATAATGCATTAGTTTTCATCGTCGTGCCGAATTAAGACGGACCTTTTTTCACCCGCCCTATGCAAAAATTGCGAGATAAACTGACATATACATCAAACGCAACCGCTATACACACAGTTACAGTACGCGGTTCCTTGTAGTTTGCGGTTTGACTTTCAAACGAAAAAACTACTAAAATCTAAATGTCACTCTCTATTCGCATTATTTTTCTTCCACCAAATATGCATTTTAATAATTAACCGCGGGTGTCTCTCCCGTTTTTCAATCCATGATATTCTGGGGTGTTTTATTTGAGCGACGAACTCGGATGTGAAGTGAAAAAAATTCAAAGGAAACGTCTGACAACTTTCGCTCGTGGTTTGACTAGGTGGTTCTATTTGCTGAATGTCTTAACTACTCTACACTATTGCTTTAATGTACACGATGACTGATAAATCAACTCTCGTTGTTTTTGGCGTGTCTTGGTCAATTTAGCTCATTTTGGGGGAAATAGAACAAATTCCATCTTGGCAGATTTAATATATGCGTATTTGGCATAATAACATGCACAACCATACATTATCGAAGTCTGAACCGAGAATTCACTCACTTTTTGGTATGTTAATTCTAGTTGAACAAATGTAGCGTAGTTAGGGGCAAAACGAGACGCTTAAGCAGTGTGATTGTCATAAAAAAAGCAAGGAAACATATTAAAACACTTTTTTTACCATTAATATGTTAAACGGATTCTAGTGAACCAACTCAGGGAAAAAACTGTTCTTCAGGTAATATTGTGGGAATTATTCAAGAAAAACGACCGGAAGTAAATGTCTCATTTTGCCCCATTGAACTGGGGCAAAATGAGACAAATATTAAATATACAGAAATTTTTAAAAATTTGAAAATATTTTAATGGTAGGATAAAACTAAGGTTAAAAATACATTAGGAAAGTGGATAAAAGTTTATCTAACAGTCATAGCAAATGTCACATATTACAGTTGTTGGTGTCACAGAGCAACAACAATCTTCATGCAACCACTTTTCGCACTTGCAACACTGGACCCAATCCTCTCCAGGCAATGACTCTGTCCAAAATCCATCACACATGGGATATTGAGAATCTTCCTCAATGTCCATGTTAACATTCTTAGCTTTTGCCGATTTCTTGTTATCAGTCTTAGCTTTCTTGGCTTTTGGCAGTTGATCCTCAGCTTTCTTCGACTTCTTTTCTTTGGCAGAAAGTTTTCGTTTGCTTTTTTTGTTTTGTTCAGCTATGTTCTCGACAAGAGACTGTTTATATGGAGAACTAGTGACTATCCTAGACTCCTCAGATCTCTTTGACTTCTTCTTCTCGGTGAGGGTAGGCAGTTTCATTATCATTGAAAAGCTGACGTGGTCGACTGCAGGTGGATATAATCAAAATATTTTTATGTTTCTCCTCTGCGGATAAACTTTTCAGCTTACCTTGCACTCGGCGATTTAGTGAATCCTTGGGAACCCCAAAGACAACGGCAGCTTTTCTTATGGACAGCTCTTTGTTTTCTACTGCCAAGATAGCAAGCTTCATTTGCTCCTCTGACCAATTTGCCCGGTCAGTCTTCCGTTTGTAGTTTCGGACCATTCTAAAAATAATATTAAGTCTATTTAAGTACCTCGTCAACTGATGGTGTCACAGAACTAAGTGAGAAAACCCAACTGATGTGTACCCACAGATTATTTTTAGATTGACATAAAAATCTATAGTAAATTTTTATTTAATATGAATTGTTTGAGCAATGATGCACATATGTAGGGTAGAATGATGGTACATACAAACATTTACTGCATTAAAACACCACTTTGAGACACTAATATACATTGTATAATACCCTTATGCTACTTTATATACCATATATATTGATTACAACATTACAACAGATAGCGATAATGCCCATAAGCAAACAGAAGTGTATAGTCTTGTAAGAAAATCGGCCTGTCTCATTTAGCCCCACGGCACTTGGGAGAATTCAAAGGCTCAAAATGATAAAAATAAAGAGCAACATGAGCAAAATACACTTTTAACATGAAAGGCCACATGTTTTTGTATACAAAACAAATGGAGTATATTTCTTAGCTGCCGTATTTTAGACAGAATAAAAAACTATCTAAATATGCTAAGTAATAACATACCTCAATTTTGAGACGCCAACTTCAGTGTAATCCAAAAGAATCGTTGAATAACTTCGTTGAATAACTTCGAAAAATGCTTGTTTATGAGCCCGTAATGCTTGTGATAAAAAACCTGCGGTAATACGCCGAAAACTAGCATTATTGAGCAGCTGGGAAATTTGTTGCGCATGCGCCAGATTGCCATTGAAACTTGAAGATTTCCCCGAAGAAATAACGAGATGTTCGTGGTTGTTGTGTATTTTTGAATGCCTGTTTAATCTTTATAATTTTTTGCTCGAGACAAAGTAAAATGTACTCTACGTTTCCAGTGTATAGAATATCTCGTTTGTGTTTGAACAGCAATAGAATATTATAAACTTGACACAAACAAGAAGACATTTGACACGCTAATTCTGCAGTCATGCCTGCCAATCGTCGCAAGCTTGACTGCCTTGTCAAAAGCAAAACAAGTACGAATTTGGGTTCAAACAGAAAGACGTTCAATGTTAATACCACTAACATATATTCTATAGAAATACGGGTGGTTTAAAATGTTTTCAATTGAATTTTTAAAGCTTTTATCTATCGACATGATAATCAAACTGTGAAAATGCCGGCTTTTGTTGACGCTTGCGAATGCAGAATAACTTCCCGTAAACAAAGCATTTCTACACAAAACTCTCGTTTAGTCTTCTAATGCACTTGTATGTTCGGTTCTACTAGTTAAACAAGGAAAATATCCAAGACTGTTATAAAAACATTTCAGTGCTGAGGCAGTACAAGGACTTAAGGCCAAGGGCAAGGTCAAGTTGTCGATTTCATTACATTTTCAGTAGTTCGAATGTTTTCGAACTCTTATCTCATACAAGAGCAGTAAACGCACGCATTTCAAAGCGAAATTAGACGCAAAGGGGCAATTTTTCAGCAAAATTCATTGTTAAATTATGTTTCCTATGTGGCTTGGGAGCAAAAAAATATGATTTTAAATTTGGAGATTTCCGTAAATTTTTTTGCAATTTGGCCAAGGGAGCACGCCAGAAATATTTGTATAAAGTTATACTAACCTTTTAATTACATGTAAATGTTTTCAATTTTCATCGGCCGCCATTTTGAATGTTGAAAGCGGTGTCACAGTGATACGAACATCCCCGTGTTTTGTGTATCCCCACACTAATATCCCTAGGGATAAAAGTACCCCCGGTGGGGATACCTACAACACTAGAAGCGAAAGGATGCAATATTCAAAATATGAGCTCATTTATCTCTGCCTTTATTTTCCGGTATTAAGTATTTACATTTTTACAGTTATTAAATGCTGCAGTAAATGTGTATAATGTGATTGTACTTTTGTTGCAAGATAGCATGTTCGCGTCGCATAAATTGGTGTAGAACATAGTGTAGAATTACTCTTAACATTAACTCATATGGCTCCGTATTACTTGATTTCCGACGTATATGACAGGAAGTTTAAATATTACAGAACTCCGCGAGTATTTGCAGTAGAAATACGAAAGTACCACCAAAAAAATCCGCTTGAAAAGTTCTATGAAATCGAACAATGTAAAATAGCCATAAATTATAAACTAGGCATACTTGAACAATGTAAACTAACCATACCATACTATATACAATATTAAAACTCGAAGAATGTAAACAATGCATCACTAACCCATACCTTTCGCCGAATATAACTTCGGCCCCTTTCAACATATCTTTTCGGTATTAGTCTTGTTCGGAACACAATCCAACACACTATTTAGAGTGTTATTTTCAAGCTTGTATGTACAGTTCTGCATGTTTTATTTCCCGCGAAATGTTAGGGATACTTGTATCCCTAGTGATGTGGGAATGTAGGGTGGTTCTTTAGGGATACGCAGAACACGACCGCCATATTGCCGGGGATACACATATCCCTAGTGAGGTGGGCATGGGGATACACAAATCCCTAGTGATATTAGTAGGGGATACACAAAATACGGGGATACTCATATCACTGTGACAGCGGTATTAGCTTATCGCAGGCGCAATAATTTATGTTCATCTTTGACATTAATTTATGTTACACGATGATACTCCGAAGGGCGACCGAGAAAGATCCGAAATTTAAAATAAGGCGGAGAAAATTTCGGATCTTTCTCGGTCGCCCTTCGGAGTATCATCGTGTAACATAAATTAATGTCAAAGATGAACATAAATTATTGCGCCTGCGATAAGCTAATACCGCTTTCAACATTCAAAATGGCGGCCGATGAAAATTGAAAACATTTACATGTAATTAAAAGGTTAGTATAACTTTACACAAATATTTCTGGCGTGCTCCCTTGATTTGGCCTGGTATTGCACCCTACCTATGTACTAACTGTGCTGTAAAAGTAATCAAATATACTATTTTTAATTTCCTTTCATTGAAAGGATCTACTATTGTGGACTAAACTAAATTTTAATCAGCATACAAGGCTGCAAACAACAGCCAAGAATTAGCTGGGTAGTTTGCAAACTTTAAAAATAATTGGACCTCAAACTTTGATCTCCAGAAGTAAACAGATAGACAATACTGCGAACATAATCCAAGTTTTGATCACGAGGGGCAATTTTTAGATGTAAAAAAACTTGTTTAAATTACATATCAAACTAAGGCAAAACAAAATTTGGTATTAAATTTTTGGTGAAATCGTCAAAGTTTTTTGCTATCCGCCCACGCTTCTACACCCCCTCTCCCAGGATATTCTACCTCAAAAAACAGTTTTCTGCAGAAACTATGCTTTTTTATCGGAAAAATGTTTACTTTTCTCAAAAAATACATTATAAACACGGAAACCTTAAATATTTAAATAATTTTCATACCTTTTTGGGATTGAAAAAAGCAAAATTTGATTCATTATCCCACTTTTAAAATATATGTGATAAAGTTGCTTCAAAATCACCATCACGCAGTAGCATGTTTATTTACCCTCATCCTTTTGACTGAATAAAGTTTATCGTTTTGAAAAACTATTTGTTTTATAGCTCTTGGTTACCGGTTTACGTTTATGTCGATTTTGGTACCCATAAGACCAACAAATTGTGGTAATCCGCGAATGAAAATGGACATTCGAAGAGCACAAAAGCCAACTCCTAGCTATGTAACTTTATCGCCTGAAGTTTGAATCAATCCAAAATTAAAATGCTGATAATGTAGATGCTTTCCATACTTGAGATGTTAGTGAAGTTTTTCCTACAATTTAATTTCCTTTATCGCCGTCTTAAAAATGCAAAATCATCAGTTGAAATTTCACTCGTGTTGTTTTTTCAAATTTTCGAATTTTTGTAAAATATCGCGTGCGCCAGCAATTTCTCTGCACAGCGACAACAAATTTCCCAGCTGCTGAACAGGGTGGACTTCCGTCTACGCATGCGCGAGAAACGTAAGCGTGGAGTGCACGTGAGCGCGGGTTAATCGCGTGACTGAATTATAAAAACAAACATCAAATTTGCAAAACTGCTCGTGTTATGAAGTCGTTTTCTTGTTTCTTTAGTGTTTCTACGCTCACAATTTTAGGCATTTCCAACTTATAAGTGTTTGCTTTGGAATAAGAACGTGAAAGTAGAAATAAAAACTTTGTTGCAGCAGTTTAATTTTGCAGTGCAAATATACCTGTTTTTAGTATGTATATCCTTTTCGAAGTGAGATATACAAGTGCAAATTGACCTTCTTTAAAGTCGTACTTGCCCTATTTTTCACTACATAAAAACTACTTCTATCCGTGGAGAAACTATTTGACTCCAAAAATAAGCTTGAATTTTTGTGGTGATATAGGCTCATTTCTTTGCAAACAGTGATTTAGTACTCGGTAGTGTAGTTCTTGTTTATGAACAAGAGTCTAAAATGAATTCAACATCTGTCAACAAAAAGGAGACGCGCTTATTACTACTCTGTAGAGGATAGACAATTAATTTAACTTACTAGGAACCCGTTCTACAATATAAACTAGAAATCGGCCAACAAATTGCCACTAAATACTACAATGAAAATAGGGTCTCTGAACTACCAATTTCACCGAACGGCCAAGTTTCTCTGCAAAGATCGCCCCTTTGCCCAATTTTCCTCGAGTAGATCATCGTGTTTTTAAGTCAAGGATTATGTATACTTTAACATAAAAGAATAAAAAAAGTGGTGATAAAGGGTAGATTTTGAATAAAATACGATTATCTGTATACAAGATCTGAGCGTTATTATGAAGCACTCGATACTTTCTCCAACAACATATTGCGCTTATTTTTTTACAAAATTAAAAATATTCACACATTAAGGATATGAAAATGTAGCTTGCATTACAAAGAAATGTTGGCTTACCTAAGTTATACCTTACACGTCGATTAAAGTCAAGTAAAGCCCTTTCAAAGACGCGTACCACATTAAACTACAGGTCACATGGCGGTAGAGAACTCGACGAAGTATTCACGATATTTCATAGCCAGCTTAAACGCCACTGTGTACTATTCCTGTGAATTATGATGTCCAACACACCGGGTAACACAATTTACCACTTTGTTCGGCTGTTCCAAGTACACTTTTAAGATACAAGGTCCGATCATATCATGTTCTTCGAAGCATCTGCTCAAAACAGCACAACATAAATATCGCCACTCATCTTCTTCGTATGAAAATATAAGTTTTTCTTTCAATTGCTTTGCTTTAAAAACAGTCAATAGGTTGTTGAAGAGTTAGCCTGCAAGTTCCAAAGAAAAAAAACCCGATGCTTTCAAAAACCAGAGAATCACAATGCAGAAAACTTCAACATCCTTAGAAATTGTAAGCAAAACAACAAAAAGCAAAATTTGCGGGAAAAAGCTCACGAGCCCGCACTATTTTTATGCAGCGTCGACAAAAGTCCACCCTGTTCAGCTGCTGCATTATTGAGCAGCTGAGCAGCTGGGAAATTTGTTGTCGCTGTGCAGAGAAATTGCAGGCGCACGCGATATTTCACAAAAATTCGAAAATTTGAAAAAACAGCACGAGTGAAATTTCAACTGATGATTTTGCATTTTTAAGACGGCGATAAAGGAAATTAAATTGTAGGAAAAACTTCACTAACATCTCAAGTATGGAAAGCATCTACATTATCAGCATTTTAATTTTGGATTGATTCAAACTTCAGGCGATAAAGTTACATAGCTAGGAGTTGGCTTTTGTGCTCTTCGAATGTCCATTTTCATTCGCGGATTACCACAATTTGTTGGTCTCATGGGTGCCAAAATCGACATAAACGTAAACCGGTAACCAAGAGCTATAAAACAAAAGTTTTTCAAAACGATAAACTTTATTCAGTCAAAAGGATGAGGGTAAATAAATGCTACTGCGTGATGGTGATTTTGAAGCAACTTTATCACATATATTTTAAAAAGTGGGATAATGAATCAAATTTTGCTTTTTTCAATCCCAAAAAGGTATGAAAATTATTTAAATATTTAAGGTTTCCGTGTTTATAATGTATTTTTTGAGAAAAGTAAACATTTTTCCGATAAAAAAGCATAGTTTCTGCAGAAAACTGTTTTTTGAGGTAGAATATCCTAGGAGAGGGGGTGTAGAAGTGTGGGCGGATAGCAAAAAACTTTGACGATTTCACCAAAAATTTAATATCAAATTTTGTTTTGCCTTAGTTTGATATGTAATTTAAACAAGTTTTTTTACATCTAAAAATTGCCCCTTGTGATCAAAACTTGGATTATGTTCCCAGTATTGTCTATTTGTTTACTTCTGGAGATCAAAGTTTGAGGTCCAATTATTTTTAAAGTTTGCAAACTACCCAGCTAATTCTTGGCTGTTGTTTGCAGCCTTGTATGCTGATTAAAATTTAGTTTAATCCACAATAGTAGATCCTTTCAATGAAAGGAAATTAAAAATAGTATATTTGATTACTTTTACAGCACAGTTAGTACATAGGTAGGGTGCAATACCAGGCCAAATTGCAAAAAAATTTACCGAAATCTCCAAATTTAAAATTATATTTTTTTGCTCCCAAGGCACATAGGAAACATAATTTAACAATGAATTTTGCTGAAAAATTGCCCCTTTGCGTCTAATTTCGCTTTGAAATGCGTGCGTTTACTGCTCTTGTATGAGATAAGAGTTCGAAAACATTCGAACTACTGAAAATGTAATGAAATCGACAACTTGACCTTGCCCTTGGCCTTAAGTCCTTGTACTTCCTCAGCACTGAAATGTTTTTATAACAACGATAATTTACCAAGTTTCTTGGATATTTTCCTTGTTTAACTAGTAGAACCGAACATACAAGTACATTAGAAGACTAAGCGAGAGTTTTGTGTAGAAATGCTCTGTTTACGGGATGTTATTCTGCATTCGCAAGCGTCAACAAAAGCCGGCATTTTCACAGTTTGATTATCATGTCGATAGATAAACGCTTTAAAAATTCAATTGAAAACATTTTAAACCACCCGTATTTCTATAGAATATATGTTAGTGGTATTAACATTGAACGTCTTTCTGTTTGAACCCAAATTCGTACTTGTTTTGCTTTTGACAAGGCAGTCAAGCTTGCGACGATTGGCAGGCATGACTGCAGAATTAGCGTGTCAAATGTCTTCTTGTTTGTGTCAAGTTTATAATATTCTATTGCTGTTCAAACACAAACGAGATATTCTATACACTGGAAACGTAGAGTACATTTTACTTTGTCTCAAGCAAAAAATTATAAAGATTAAACAGGCATTCAAAAATATACAACAACCACGAACATCTCGTTATTTCTTCGGCGAAATCTTCAAGTTTCAATGGAAATCTGGCGCATGCGCAACAAATTTCCCAGCTGCTGCATAATCGTCTCATTTAGCCCCACCGTCTCGTTTTGCCCCGACTTACGCTATTAACATCTAGCTCTTTTCTATTATTGTGAGCATTAATTATTATCTTAGCATTGGAAAAAAAAAATGATTTGGGTTCATTTTTTGTTCTTCGAAAAGCCAAATATTTTACATTTTAATGATAATGCACAACAAGTTTGCACGTAATAATATAAACGCTTACTCAAAAACTTATATTTTGCGGCATGATTCAGTTGCGATGCATGAATAATCAGGAAATTACGATTAATCTAAGGTTTGCCGTCATTTTGGACTGAATGTTGGCAAAGGCTTCTTGACTTTCATCGACTTTGCACGTCAGAAGAATCAGAGAGCGTCGGCACACGCAGTAATGATAAATTATTTCTGCCGCGAGCCCTCTATCAACTCCTAATCATGCAGATTAATGTAGGCCAGCATTTTACAAAATCTATAGTGCGTAGTATGTACGTTACAAAATGGGTAAAGTTATTGGCGCATTTGACACTGACCGTGCGAAATTTGACTCCCACTACAATAAAAATAGAGCAACCCCACCTCCTCCCCCCATTCAATGTTGTGTGTAGTGTGTTAGACGTGCAAGGTGTTACCCAACATTGAATGGAGGGTAGGAGGTCTGAACATGAAATTCCGAACAGAATGAGCAAGTATGTACATGTCAATAAGAAATGATTTTTCTATTTTGACTATACGTCAAGTATTTCTGACCAGGATTTTAGCATGTGTATGGAAAATATAGCTTAAAAATATAAAAAATACCATGAAAAATCTCCTTGCACAAGGAACACTCATGGGAGTGGAACACTCATGGGAGTGGAACACTCATGGGAGTGGAACACTCATGGAAGTGGAACACTCATGGGAGTCGCCGAGTCGAGGCTTAAGAAACAGGAGTTTGGAATATATCTGGTGTCTGTTCCCCTTCATCATGAATAGACAATCGAGAGGAATTGGAGGCACGGACGATTTACTTTCGATTGTCTATGCCTTCATCCTTAAAGCCCAATCAACCAACCACTAGTGCTTCCACGTGCATTTGCTTTTTCCATTTGTTTTTTTTTTTCATTTAGATCCAAACAAGAAGTCCAGCAAGTTTTCAAAGTTCGGATTGAGGTAACATTAAGAAAGTAATCTTACTTCAAAAGTTTGCTTTCAGTGCATAAAAGTATAGAATTCCATGATACGCGATCATCGTATTGTAGATTAGGATAAAAGACTATTATAAATAATACGTGTTTGCTCATCCATGCCAACCCCTCACAAAAAGCCTTTGTTCGAAATGTTCAAATGTTTTAACCATTTTCTATATATAGTAGCTACAGGCGGAAAAAAATTCCATGCATGCAATGCAGACTTTAGAATGGGGGAATGTTTATTAACTACTTTTTAACTACCCGTTTCGCGGTTAAATTGTAGCATTAAATTCTGATTGGTTAACTTTCCGACGTACTATGTATCGGTTGTTTTTATACAACCGGTCCCTAAGTAACAGTTGGGGAATATACGAGTTTGAAAATTTCAAAATAATGAACACACGAATTATTTTATGATCGAAAGGAATAAAAAATGTTGAATACAAATAAAATTACGATCAAAAATATTTTGTTAATCTGTTAATCTGTTAATCTTTCATTTAAATGATTCTTCTCTATTGGTATATATATATATATATATATATATATATATATATATATATATATATATATATATATATATATATATATATATATATATATATATATATATATATATATATATATATATTTATTAAAGAATTAGTGTCAGGGTCATTACATGCATTGCGGGCTTTTGTTATTGTTTACATTTTACTCAAATACAACAAATAGCGATAAAAATACCTTGTTTGGTACATTTCTGATAAGAATAAGAATCAGACAAAAAGAGCAAGGATTATAAAAGGATGGTTTAAATATATGACGGATTGTAAACACTTTCCAGATCATCTAGTCTATTCATTTCGAAAAATGGCCGCCAACAGGAGTTTGAGCCCGTGAATTCCTGGTGTGACACTAATCCTTTAAGTTAAATGGTTTATGTTTACCATGTGATTTCTTATGTTCGTGGACATAAGGTTATTCGGGGCTGTGCGCGCAATACAATGAGCGCTAGTACAATGTTGGACAGGATCTTGGGAATACGTACAAAATATTTTATTGCTTTAGAAAGAAGAAAAAACAACCAAATAAAATCACTGAAGAAACCGGTCAATCCGTCCTGTTACAAGATGATAATAGCCCTCAAGATGTTGCGGTGGGCAACGACGCAACAGAATCGAACAGTGGTAATGAAGATGGATATTTAGAACCACTAGATCCAGAAAGAGACAGTGGAATGGCTGGCAACAACGCAATGGGAAATAATGAAAACATTTACACTTTAAATAGAGGTACTTGTATACAGCTGATCTTATCAAGTATGGGTGGAGGACTGCTAGTTCTCTTAAGGAAGAGCTAGATATACGCATCCACCGTTTGCTTTGCGATTGTGAGTTTTTCCCTTCAGAGGATAACATTAATTGAATTATGTGTATAAAAATGGTGTAAATATAAAGATGTTTAACCCGGCCTCACTATATTGAACTAAATGGACATGTAATCTACACATGACATCTCTTACGTTGCTTTTTTCTCTCACCGCCCGTCTTGCATCCGTTCAAGCAAGGATAATTGCCTTCAAACTAATCCTTGCTGGATTTCTCTTTTTAGAAACTTGTCTTTTGATCGAATTGTCTTTTGTTGCATGGGATAATATCTCTCCGATCATTCATAACTGTATATATACGTCTGTTTCCACCTTTAAGCATTAGACTCCACTTTAACTTACTTTCCTTGTAAACAGAATGTCCACTTGGAAAATCTATTGCTCTAGATTCCACTCTTATAATTTAAGCGGTTGTTATTAATTTTTGCAATCATATGCAAATAGTGTATTGTTATTGTCTTCATGCAATTCTTTGTCTTTTCCGTATTGTTTTGCAACTTTTGTCAGGTTGGTCTTCATATACATGAAACTCGTATTCTGTTGACCCTTAACCTATATATTTTAAACATGTATTAACGTTCTTATTCTTATACTGTATTGTTGTAAAGTAAATAAATGAAGAATAAATAATTACAATTCCTCGGGAACCTTACCATTACAGTTTAGTTTCTAGACTTACCTTGTGGAGCATGTGCGCGAGTGTCTTACCCTATTGGCCTGGAAATTAAAAAAGTCCGGGATAAGAGCTCTCGAAATTATGTGATGTATCACCCAATACATGCCCTAAAATATTAATATTAACGCCAAAAGAGTCGAATGTAACTGTTCACATTGTGCCAGGATGCATGAACGGACTTTAATTAACGGCATTAGAATTTTAACGCCAATGACACCTTTCTCTCTAGATTCAGACCAAGGCGGTGCTTTGAACCAAAACATTGCTCTTCAGAAACAGGCAGAAGATGATTGCAGCTATGACAATGACAGCAATAATCTAACAAAATCAACCACCACAAAGGACCTGGATACAGAAATAAATGACGAAGGCAGTAATAGCGGCGTTGATAACCTGCCGGGGAATTCAAATACTGGTATTTATATGTCATCATCAGCGGTAATTAACAAAAATAATGAGGTACCAGGTAAAGACAGTTTTAACCAAGTGCCGGAAATCAACAATGGTATTTACATGTCAACATCTGGAACTACGCCTAGTGAGATGCCAAGACGTGACGAAGGTGGTGGTGGCAGCAGTGCTAACAGCGGTATTTACATGGCACCGAACCAGAATACCAACAAAAATAATGGCGGATCAAGATCTCAAGAAGTCGGTGTTGATAGCAGTGTCACTCAGAATGAAATATAGCATTATTTCAAAACATTTTCTTGAAATAATTGTGCTATCCTGTCGTAATCTAGCAACAGGGATGTTGCATTATCTTTTATTGTTCTAAACAATTACTCCATCGCAATTAACAATTTTGTAGAGACAATTGGAACATTCGTATAGAACAACATGAATCGGAGCGACGTTTTTTCCAAATAGAATATTTATTGTAATTAACATTTAGAAATGTTTATATATAAGCCTGATCTAATTAAATGTTTGGTCAGTTCAATATACTTCTACGTGATTATAATTTTACGAAAGTTTTATGAAATAAAAGTTAGACATTGTACGAATTTCCTCTTTATTTCAAATTTTCAACCACACAGCAACGTATGGGGTAGCCTGTGTTCCAGTCCACACAACGGTGTAGTGGACTGAATTACAGGCTACGTATGGGGATCCATGTTTCTATAACTGCCATTTAGCCAAGAAATTTCTTTGAGGTGAATCAAATCCGTTGGAAGCAACACGAGTCCATCCATCAACAGATGTTCCTGTTTTCTGCACACCGACAGTCATGCATGCAATATGTCATTCACATCAGTATTTTCTATTGTGTTTATGTAGCTAAAGGATATGACCCACCGTGTTTGGGATGAGGCAAGATTGACCGTGATCTCGGGTCAGTCGAGGCGGGATCTCGCTTATAGGCGGGCCAGCTCGGTTCCCATATAAACGCAAAATAAAATTTAGTAGGAAATAGTAACAAAGGCGAAATCCCGCCTAAACCTGGCCAGCTTGGGTATGACCCTTACTTAAAACTATGGCAGACAGAATGTTATAAATATGGACTATTGTTGGAACGAAAATTGTCTGTTTATGTCAAAACAGTCAAGTGAGCTACATGATGAAAATAAAATGTATGTTTGTCATTACGACATGCATGCATTTATTAGAGGTGAGCCGATGTTTAAAAAAAGCCGATTGCCGATACCGATTGTTAAGAGCCGGTATTTACCGACCATCAGCCGATTAATCGGCAAAACCGACGGTGGCTTTTTATTACTACAATAAAATACATGCATGCAGCAACCCCTCGCCTGGAGTAGAAAAACTCCACCTATTCTAAAGTATTAAAAGCACAACTGATGTGCTGGTTTATAACACGATAACATTCGCTGCAATTTCATGTGGCAGCTTGCATTAAAACATATTATTGACCATTATTTATTGTGAATTATCGAGTTAATGAATAATGGCTTAATAATTTCGCAGATGTGAATACAATTGACAACACAAAGCAAATACGGAATGGAATTGTACTACAGAAGTGTGTTTACACTTCCCCAAACCGGCACAACGATTAAATTATTAAAAATATAAACATCAGAACATCAAAACAATTATTTAATACAAACTTTGTTTCACGGTTGAACAGCCACTAATTCATGAAACTGCATGCTTATTTCCAGTTAAAATCAAAGAAAAAACGTTTTGTACTTTTGTAAACTTTTTAACGAAATTTAAAACAAAAAATTGCTGTAAAACAGCAAAATACGTCCTTTCAAAATAGTCTAGGACCTGTATATGAGTTTGTATGCGTTTCATTTAGGACAGGTAATCTCAACTGTTTTAGGGTAAAATGACCATGGCGGTCAACATGGCATATGTGCCAAAACCTGAATCCGGGACGAAAGTCCTGAAAATGACCCCGCCCTGAAACGGCAGTGTCGACATAGCTATTAACTTCCGAAAAGGAAAAACGTAAAAACGGTCGTTTCGCAGTTTACTGGGAACAATAGTAATTATGCACAAAATAACTAGTATGCCTGGCAGAAATTAAATTTTCTTATTTCCTAAAAAAAATTATCATGGCCTTCATGGGGTGAAAAACTATGCTCAATTTAATAGAATTATTGTGGATTTCATAAGGATTGTCATTATTTTCATTAACTAATCGACTATCTGCATGCCAATGTGCCCAGTTTTTTATTTACTCTGTCTAACGCCATTCGATTTTACTCGCCAAGGGAAGAGCGCTAGCTCTCAATGGGTTAAACAACTCTTGCTCCTTGTAGCCTTATTCGGATTGATTAATTTTCCAAGGGAAGTTACAGTGGGGTTATCAGACGTTGCAACCTACTTGTCACTTTTTATTACGATGCAAATAATTGTCATACAGCGCCCTTGAGTATGTTAATTGCAGCAAAAATTGTATCCTATATGACATGGCGTTGACAGATCCATGCAGTTAAGATCTTGCAAACAGAAAGCATTTTACCACTTTCATTCCTTCGCGACGCAAAATTTAATTTCTCCAGAAAAATATCAAACAGTTAAATGTCGAGTTCATAGCCAAAAATGTGCATGACCATAAAGCAAATGACATAACTTGTCTATCGTAGAAAGGCGATTTCGATGTGAAACGCCAAGCATTATATATGATTTTTGGAAAAGAGGAGACGGAAAAACAGGCAACCGCTAAGTAACATGTGGAAATGTTTTTAAAATTTAATTTGCGTCTTTTTCTTTGTTGATGACTGGAGGTTGTTGCACTAGTTTGACCAATCCTTCCTTCTTTGCGTTTTGACTTGGCGATGATAAACATTTTGTAGTTTAAGCAAATCAACAGGAACAAGAGAGATAAAATAAACACAGTTATGAGCATATAACCAATTTTTTTGCCCATAAAATGGTGACAGGGCGACTAGTGTGATCATCCAAAATTTCTGAAAAAATACAAGTCTCCTTTTGGTAACAGCGGTTTGGTGGGAAAATGGATAGGTTCAATAGTCAGCGTTAATAGTGCGAACATTGAAAAACCTCCGAAGAAAATACCTGTGTATACAAATGTATACATCATTTTTTCATAACAAATTTGCAAAGACCACGAAATTGTTGATAATATTAATGCAGGATGATTAATGATGACCTCAGCCAGATCAAAACAAGATAAAAAAGAATGGTAAAGTAGCATAGTTTATTTTGATGTTGTGACGACCTGCATATACTGATTATAACCACAGAATTCAGAAATATTGCTGCAACCATGAGGGAAGCATTCAGAAGACACAGAAATAGCGCGTTAATAAAAGTGTCTGGATCCATTGCAAGTCTTCTGTCCTGTGGGTCTTTCCTCTTTTCTTCTAAAACGTATTCTGTCGCCATTGAATATAAGAATACATGCGAAAACATCTACAACACACCTGCACATTTATTTATCTAAAACTGTAATTTTGTCATATTGAAGCATGCAAAGGCTCTTGAAACAAAGCATTGAAACTCGTATGGATGCTATGCCCTTTTGAGTCAAGTACTCACGCATAAATTGTACATACGGTACCCTAATTACCATTCAGACAGTAATGGCCGCTATCAAGAAGCTTGCAGTACGTGCTGAAAACATAATGGATGCACGAGTAGAATTCTATACATGGCAAAAAACGATTAGGTTGTTGCTATACATCAGTATTGTAAACAGGATTGAAATTGTTTTGCTGCCTACATTGTTCACAGTTGTCAACAATATTGAACAATATTGTTACCCCGATCAGGATCAACAATATTGTTCAATATTATTGACAAGTGTGAACAATGTGGGCAGCAAAACATTGTTCAATCCTGTTGAGCAGCGGGCTCGGCGTTTTTTGCCGTGTAACATGCAACAATACCGGGACGAGCCAATTCGACATTTTGAAGTAAGGTGGCTTAGCCAAGCCAACATTTGCAAGTTTGCTATTACCTGCCCTAGCTACTTGTACCATCGATCTTAACTACACCGAACAGATCCTACGCGACATTGTGACTCGCGGCCTTGGGGACCGACATGAAATCCCGCTGGATCCTGTGCATCGGATCGGACGTTAAAATCCGACCATTGCCTAATGTTTAAAATCCGATCCGATATTGTCTAATCCGAATCCGATCCGAGTTTTGATAAAGAAGTCCAATCCGATGCGATGAATTCTTTAATAAAATAAATTTCTCATTCAAGTTGAAATATTTAACCAAATAAATATAAAAGCAAGAAATACATGTCAAGAAGCTGACAAAGTGACGTCCAATTGAAGTATCAAACGAATAATGCAGCGACAACCGCGATAATGCTTTGATAAATGCATGGATAATTAATATAAACAACTTTGTCAATCCGATCAGATCCGAAATGAATATTTTGGTTCTGAAATCCGAACGGATCGGATTTGCACACCTCTAATTCAATCTTCACTTATTAATACGTATTTGTATGGTATGTTTATGTAAATACCACATTGACAACAAGCCTTCCAACAACTCAATTCTTATAGGGTCTGGAAAATTTTTAAAATCTAAGGTATTTACAACACAATGTGCAAAAGCTGTCTAATGACCTTAAAGGTCATGCAAGATTTTATGTTTGTAAGTTTTGACCTTCTTCGATGTAGCGCCCTAGCTGTATAATTATAAAGAGAGTAGCTTTACTTAGCTGTTATACACACTCAGTGACTGGAAGACTTTGGCAGAACGTATATCTGAACAGGTGAACAAAGCTCGACATAGCCATCTTGTAAATTGTCTGCACGATTCTTAATCTGTTTGACAATTTTCTTGTCGCTTTTCTCAGCTGATGTTTCCAAAACGGATGTAATGAAGTCTACTACTTCTTGTTCGTTGATATCTTGTGCATACTTCAAAACCAGGGAAACATCCACGTAGCAAGGATCTAAAGAATGAAAATGAATGAAATGACATTAAGAAATTAGGGCAGAACCAGATAACTCCGAATAAGTAAACCTTTTCAATTCAACGTTTCGATTTTATTTAGCCATTTTGACTAAAATAATAATCAAAATGTGATCATATAATGTAAAATTAAAGTAACTTTCTTTATACGGAGAATAGAATAATTTAATAATTACAGTACAATCAACTCTCGCTTGCGGACACCCCATAGTTGCGGACACCCCGCTATTAATTAAGGACAGTTGGTAAATCTCTGGCGGAAACCACTATGAAATGCATTGAAATAACTCTCACTATTATGGAATGGACCATTTGCATTATAGACTAAATTTTGATCTAGACAAAAATTTCATCACAGCTTGAAAGAGCATCACAAAATTAGTAATATTCCAAAGTTTCGTTGCGAAATGTTGTAAAATGCGGATAATATAGCCTTGCGAAGTTTGCCGTTTTCAGTCATTTTCTATTACAAACGGGAAATTGACAGCCCAATCGGGTGTTGGGGCATCAATTTCCCGTTTGTAATACAAAATGACTGAAAATTGCAAATTTCGCAAGGCTATATTATCCGCATTTTACAACATTTCGCAACGAAACTTTGGAATATTACTAATTTTGCGATGCTCTTTCAAGCTGTGATGAAATTTTTGTCTAGATCAAAATTTAGTCTATAATGCAAATGGTCCATTGCGGACACTCCATGTGGTCACAAACAAACATTTTATTGTTCTACTCCCGTTACAACGGACACCTTGGATGCACTGTGTGGATGAAATTGTCAAACAGAAAAAATATAAATATGTCATTCAAAACAACCCAGGTGTATATCCCAATCTTCAGAGTTCTTCCGCTCTATATTTACATTACTTTCCAGGCATTTCAGCTTGTTTTGCCATTTCAATATTTTTGACAGACTAATTGCGCTTTCGCGTGTAGACTCTGTTTCGCATATATCTGTAGTCAATATTCCATGTTTTTATGTTTTGATATAGGTATAAATGAGAACCATATTGGTGTCCCATGCATGCGGAATCGTGAAAATTGTGTGAAATATGATCATGTACTGGCCTCATGTACATGCTGGTCGCAAATTGCTAAAATTATACTATATAAATATTGTGTACTTATGCATCAGAGTAAACGTAAAGTAGAAGTGCCATTAATGTCGATATCACGACATTAAGAATGTAGTCGCATTCCTGGATGTTTTGCCCCGAAAAAACATGACACGTTTTAAACTTTCAAGAGAAATTGGGCAAAGCGTTACTAATGGAGGTACATGAAAAAATTCCAAATTCTGCATTTATTGCCTTTTAATGGAAGAAAAAGGTTACGTACTTCTTGAAATTTTATGATGAAAATAAGAGCCCATGCAGCATAATGGGCCATATATATAGATATACATTTTGGGCCATATATATAGATCCAGCATTTTAGCGGTTTTTGTAAAATCACAGAAACGCCTATCTTAAATCTTATCATGAAACAAGAAAGGTCTTTGTGTAACCTTACTTCTGCAATAGCTTTATTTCATAACAACGTTAACCCACCTGACCAAGTTGAATGAGAGAATATAACTTTTGTTATAAGTCGATGTTTCATCTTTGAAAAATGCCGAAAGTCAGCTGGTTTCGGCTTAAACAGTTGTCTTGAAAAATCTGGAAAAACTACCTGAAATGGAATGAGGTATACTGGTTATACAAATCGATAGGTTGTTTCAGTCCAATCACTCGGTCATGTTGGGGCGGCCCAGCAGATATATGCTAGGAAAAGTAGCCTATAAGGACGAACTACTTTAATTATCTTGTGTCTGTTTTTATCCCACCTAATATCTCTCCGTGGTAGACGTATAAGTATATATACCCTTCGAAATATTTTTGTGGTGTACACACGCCAATATTACCAGGTTAAAATCGACAAAATATGCGAAAGCCGGTCAGATAGGATAAAACCTTTATTTAGAGAAATGCTGTCCCACTTTACTGAGACCGTACCAAGTGCGAAGTTGGGAAAGCAGCATTTCTCCTTGGCTCGTCTCTCATATAACATGCAATGATTTTTGTATATATTAGCTAGAACTATTCAATGGCTAGAACATGTAGATCTCACGCCGGTGTGTCTCCCAATAGACGTTTCCAAAGATAACTCATCTCGTTCCAGGCATTTTACCCGCGGTTTTGGTAAGTACATTTTCGGAATTTCGTTGAAATGTGGTTGAAATTTTCAACCCGTGAAAACATCAAGAGACTTATAATAGTTTTGTTTGTGGAAACACCACGTAAATTTATTACTGCAAAGCTTTCGATCCGTAAGCCCGGATCTTCATCAGTGCTAATAATATGTGACTTGTTTAATTCACACGCCCTTTTATATACAAAAGTGTTGTGATCTGTTGGCTCACGACACTTTTGTATGTAAAAAGGGCGTGTGAATTAAACAAGTCACATATTATTAGCACTGATGAAGATCTGGGCTTACGGATCGAAAGCTTTGCAGTAATAAATTTACGTGATGTTTCCACAAACAAAACTATTATATGTTTTATCGCCATGCAAACATACAAAGAACTTATCAAGAGACTTGTGTTAGAGACGTGTGTTGTGTTAATATATTTTGTGGGCTGTTTTAGTGTCTAAAAGATGGGCTCCGACGATCTGCTTTGTTTTGGTCAAGGCCGATAGAGGCCTGTATTCTAAAAGCTCACTCACACGCAATCACACTCAAAGAGTGGAGGTTCAATCTGAGCTTCCCTTGAATGTCAATGCTGGTTTTTAATAGCTGAAGGGTGAGTAGTCATATAGTAAGGTACGACACTAAACCCTCTGCAGCTATTCAAAAACAGCATTGACACTCAAGCCAAGCTCAGATTGAACCTCCACTCTTTGAGCGTGAGTGTGCTTTTAGAATACAAGCGTTTAGGCTACACAATTTTGCCTATAAAACTTTCGCATGCAACCTGCTTAAAACTCGAGTTGCACTGTGTAAATCAAGCATATACAACTCGCCTACGACAATATAAGCGAGTTGTGCGCTTGATTTACACAGTACAACTCAGGGGCCGGTTGTATAAAAAAGTGATTAAAGTTAACTATAGTTAGTGGAAACGTCATCCAATAACAAGCGCGTATTTGAGAGTTAATCACTATTTAACTACAACATAGTGATTAAAAAGTGATTATAAGAGTTTTATACAACCGGCCCCTGGTTGTTAAGCAGGTTGCTTAAGGGGGAGAACCATTTTTAACTAACAGTTTCGAACTAATGTACCGTTATTTGTACAATTTTTCAGTAATAGTTTCGTAAATTTATCAAAATTTTCCCTACAACTATTACTTTTCATTAAATTATGTAAAATTTTTTGCTCAATTACATACTTTTTGCCCGACAAGCGTTTCGTTACAATTGTTAAAATTGCCCGACAAAACTGCAATATTACAACCTTTGTCCTACCCCCAAATCCCCCTGTCGTTACGGCCCTGGTTGCATGCGACAGTTTTAAAAATTTGTGTTATCTAAATCAGCCTTTAGACATCGACAAAAATCGATTATTGTAGAAATATTCAAAATTACAAATAATTCATCAAAGAAAGTTCACGGAAAAGTTAATAATATATTATGTACTACAATATTTATTGAAAGATGTTGCATAAACTAGATAAACGCATAAATTAGTCAAATATTAACACTATTCGGAAAATGTACTTGCCAGAACCGCGGGAAAAGTGGCCTAAGACGAAGTTGTGTAGGTAACTTGGAAAACGTCTATTAGATTACGTTCACACTATGCCAGAGCGGTTTGGAAATGGCGCAGAAAAGTCACAATTAGCCTGCCGGAGCGAAATTGTTTGAAAATGTCAATTTTGCCGTAACAATTTGAGCACGGTTTCTAAACGGAGCGAGATGAAAACGGAGTGCTTGGCGACTTCGTGTGAACACAAACGCCGTTACTTTTTTGTACCGCTTGCAAACAAAGCATCTCAGGTCTCAAAACAGTAAATTCGAACGCTTTTCGTTTAAATTTCTGTGCTCTATTTGACATATTTTCGGTTTACATAAGTGGTTACTAATATAATTTGTAAACAAACTGTAACGGCGTATAGTGCATGTGAACACGTAAATTCTGCCGGCATTATTTTGCTCTGGCGCAGTGTAAACATAGTCTTATAGTCTTCTTGCACATATGAACAAAACATGCATACTAGGTATAACTTACTTGTATATAAACTTGTGACGTATGCATAACGTTCGTGATATCTGCATCAATGTCAACACCAAGAGTCAGTCCAGCGGTAAAACGCAATGGATTATCTGATCCTCCCTGAGGCTCGTTGATCACAGCACTAGCCTGACGCAACTGATTCTCTAGCGCAAGGGGAGGCGGCTGGTAACTACTGACCAGAGACTGTAGATGGTCGACAATGACGAAAGGCTTCGTTATATTGGACTCGACAAAATCTTGGAAAGACCCAAGTGTCCGAATAAGGGATTCGTGAGTCCTCTCGCCGGAGCCATTGAGTTTATTTTGTGAGCGTATTCGTGCAAGCAGTTGTTCCCAAACACGGACTGCGACACTGTTACTCTGAAGTGCTTTAGAATTGTTTCTGTGCAAGTAGATAATAAGAAGACTGTGAGCAAGCAGCCTTATCTCTCTGATCATCCCACGCTGTTCCGAGTCAAGACCAACAAACAAAGTATCCATTTTGTACGACAATACAATCAGCTCTTCCACTACGTCTGGAGTAAGGCTACCACAATTGCAACACAAAACTGATGGACTGTTCCAAAACTGGTCCGTCTGGACTTCGAGGATGCAAATCTGGGTCTTGAGATACATCAAAGCACACTTTGCGGTCGCCGAAAATCTTGACTTCACGTTCGCTAAATGTTCAAGATCTTTAACGACATTTTTCAAACTTGTCTTCTGCAAAGTTTTATCAGTGTTGGAAAGAGCTTTAACTGCTATTGATACGGTTTTGCACAAGAATGTTTCAGGAAGTTCTAAATCTGGAAAGAAAACGAAAATTGTACCTTGTGTTCTTATTGTCTTTTTGTTTTGTTTTGTTTTGTTTTGTTTTGTTTTGTTTTGTGTTTTGTGTTTTGTGTTTTGTGTTTTGTGTTTTGTGTTTTGTGGTTTGTGTTTGTGTTTGTGTTTGTGTTTGTTTTGTTTGGCTCCGTTTTATTTGGTTTGGTTCATTCTGTTTCCTTTCGTTCGTTTTTAATTTTTTTGTTTTTTTTTGTTTTCTTTGCTCTTCGTTGTTTTGTTAACAAGAACAAATCTTTGTATATATTTATCGAGATTTTTGGGCATCGCGTTCGACAGGGCTAATATAGTAGATGCGTTTTTATGGCGTTCCGTTCCGGTCAAAATTATTTCAAGTCAATAAGTAATATTCAAACATCATATAAACATGTTATAACTCTCAATATAATGTTGAAAATATCAAGATGAAGTTCAAACTCAAAAAAAAAAAAAATAAAACGAAAGTTTAAAGCATATACTTGAAAAATGCAAAATACATTTCAAACCTCAAGCGATATATATGAAAATTAAACGCAAGTCCAAACTTCTATTTATAAAGCGAAACTCCCAAATGATAAGTCAAAGCCACGGCTCATAAAAATAAATCGAAAAGTCAAAAATATAAATCGAAAGGAAACTAGGAAACGGAAGTAAGAACTAAAATACAGAGGAAGTCAGGAAACGGAAGTTAACCACAAACATTGCTGTCTGCTGATTCAGCCGAATATCTTTCTCGCCGTTTGGATGTTTACAAAAGAAATATAAATATTCTTGTACTAATCTATAGCCAATTCTAGGTGTTACTTGTAAGATACCACGAACAAATAGATCAAGATCATTGCCCCTTATGGTAGAATGTGATTCCCTGTTCGTATTAGCTGAGACAAATGAACGTCGTCGTATTGTACTCTCAGATACTCAAAATTTCTTGCAATTTCTGCCCAGGAAAGTCCAACTTGAGAATTTAGAGTTTTGATTGCCTGTTGTCAGACGTCCAGTCTTGGTCTTCCCACACCAGAGATAGTTAATAGTTAACACTCCCACTGTCCTACACTTGTCTGAACAATACCGTGGTCCCTGGGGGGGGGGGGAGAGGTGGCGGTACCATAGGCGTACCGGGCGGGGGGGGCGGTAGCCCCCCCCCCCAGTTTGTTGGGCAGTCGGGCAATATTCAATCAACAGTCGGGCAATTTTGGTTTGCAATTAAAAAAATGGGACAAATTCTGTAAATTTTGTGTAAAATTAAGCAAATTTTGTGTGGGGGGGGGGGCAATTTTCTTTCCGCCCCCCTAAATTTTTCCTTCCGGTACGCCCATGGGCGGTACTCCTCCAACAAAGGGCGAAAGGAAAGTGCTTTGCATCTTTCGCATCTTTCCCTTCGACGACGAACAATCACTTGAAGGATGCGCATATCTGACAAACGTTGTTGTTCTAGAAGATATTAAGCCTTGTGAGATTGAGAAGAATATTTATATTTCTTTTGTAAACATCTAGCCTGTGCTACTGTATTGCATCTAGTAGCACATCTAGCCTGTGCTACTGTACTACAGGGTAATACAGGATGTGCACAGGCTAGTAAACATCCAGACGGCGAGAAAGATATTCGCATTATTCGGCTGAATCAGCAATGTTTGTGGTTAACTTCCGTTTCCTGACTTCCTCTGTATTTTAGTTCTTATTTCCGTTTCTTTTCGATTTATATTTTTGACTTTTCGATTTATTTTTATGAGCCGCGGCTTTGACTTATCATTTGGGAGTTTCGCTTTATAAATAGAAGTTTGGACTTGCGTTTAATTTTCATATATATCCTTTGAGATTTGAAATGTATTTTGCATTTTTCAAGTATATGCTTTAAACTTTCGTTTTATTTTTTTGAGTTTGAACTTCATCTTGATATTTTCAACATTATATTGAGAGTTATAACATGTTTATATGATGTTTGAATATTACTTATTGACTTTAAATAATTTTGACCGGAACGGAACGCCATATTCGACTGTGAGCTCGAAGTGAATTAATCCCAACCGGAAATACGACTGAAAACCGTCAAAACAATGCGGCGTTTGTATCGTATGACCCTGGAAAGGCCAGAAATGGTTCGCAAGGTCAAATTGCACCTACACGCGTGAGTTTGACGTCATCCCGGCCAAAGGAGCTTCTTATTGGCCAATTATTGCGCAATGTACGCAAGTGCGAGTAAAACCCGATATCTTGAAAAATTCAAAATAAATATTTCTAGTCGGCGTATACATACGAAACTTTCTACACGAAAGCACTTGAATACAGAGAGTATTTTACACATATAGCCGTTTAGCAAATGACGAAAAGTTCAAGGGGTATTCAAGATCTTGTGGATATGAAATCTAGAATCTTTGGCCAAGCGGTGAGTAAATATATGATTGTTTCGCTTTGTGTAATGTTTTGACGGCACTTGACCCCCCGTTCGAAAGGTTATTTTATGAGGATTTCAATGGTGGCATTTATTTCAATGGTGGCATTTATTTAAAAGGGGGGTAAATACTCGCCGAGATATTTATATTAGAAAAATTGAATCGAAATGTAATGCGAAACCGGCCTGTCAGGAAAGAGTTAATATACTTCGTAGCAACTTGATCCTTTCTCACACAACACATAAGCAGCAATGGAAGGGAAACGGAGGGAAACTTTTAGCGTGATAATAACCTTTCGCCGTTTCGGTCAATCAAAACGGACAGGAGCGGGTTAGGGAACGTTTTACATTTGGAGATTTAGTACAAGTAAATATCCTACGACTCTAGTCTCTATCTCGCTTGCCCTGAGATTCATAGTAGGCGGTCCTCCCCCATAGTATGTTATGCCATACTAGCCGGCCTACAATATATTTATAAAAGATCACACGCGACTCGGTACTGATATATAGCACGAAAGATTATTGCATATACTAAATTATGCCCTTTTAATATAGGATGCGCCATTTTATTGTATAAACAATAAGTTAATTTTACAACTTGTATTTGAATTTGATATTTTGAACGAATATTAATATCTCGGCCTCATCACAGAATGCTAAAATTAATGATCTTCATTATTTTAAAATTTTGTTTTCCATTTTTATATACTCAATGCCAATGGGCGGAAGTTGAAAATTGCACATCTAACTTTCAAATGCAAGTTGTAAATTCAACTTATTGTATTTATGCCCCGTCGCGTGTGACCTTTTTAAATATTATGTTTGCTATATCATTCTAGCCGGCCTACAATGAATCTCATGCAGGGCAAGCCAAAACTCGGATATAGTCATACAACACTACTCGTATTAAGTTTCCAAGTGCACAAATTACGTACTGAATTGAGGGTCAGCTAATAAATTTTAAAGATAGTGAAATAGACAAATAGACACACAAGCGTTGAAATATTATTTAAGCTATGAATTACAAGGCCTACATTTGTTTGTATTTTTGTCCGTTTTGATTGACCGAAACGGCGAAAGGTTATTATCACGCTAAAAGTTTCCCTTCCATTGCTGCTTATGTGTTGTGTGAGAAAGATCAAGTTGCTATCACGTATATTAAAGAATTGTAAGTGATGCTAAAGTAAAGGCAAACTTTGAACGAGAGATGAAAATTATCAGTTTCAACTTCATAAGTAAGTTTGTAAAAACAAGGAAGCCAATCAACTGTTGTTACAATATTGTCTGTTAATATTGACCGAAAGCCGGCCAAAGGCAAAGGTCATGTTTTCAACAACAACTGAAAGATAGCCATTTATTGTTAACAAATAACAATTTGATTTCTTCTTTTCTGGCAAATATTTATTAATTTGAGACTGATTTCAGTTCATAATTTATCGGCAAGTCAGAATATTATTAAAAAGCATGTTTTACGCGATAATTTTTCCAGTAATAATTTCACCCCCCCCCCCGGTAATTTGTTTTCGAATTTTTAACAAATTAAGAATTTTTAGTGTTCCGGTGTTCCGTGTTCCGGAATGATGCTGTTCCGGTGTTCCGTGTTCCGGTGTTCCGTTGTTCCGGTGTTCCTGGTTTTACTAATAGCCACTATAGCGCACAATCCAACCAATCATCAATACTTGCGTATTTTCAACTATAGTACTTCACTACAAAATGGACGGTTAAAAAGTAGTTAAGAGTTTCATACAACTGCATTGAAATACATGCAGATGTACTGTACATGCATTTACGCAAAAACTCAAATTCATACACTGGACTCCATGTTTCAATAGTCGACCTGGGCTGCTATATAGTAAAACTATAACATAACAAAAATAAACCAATCAGCTCCATTTATTTGTAGGGAATGCACGAAGTTCTGGCTCCTTTAATTTTTGTTTTGGAATATGATTCAGAAGTATTTCAATTTTTGGAAAACTCAGATAAGTAAGTTGAATACTTTGTTTATGGCGATCGTTTTATTGACAGGAGAGAAAAACAAATATAATCCTCTTTTAGACGCTAGTACTATAAGTCATTCCTGGTGTCGCATCCAAATGACACGAAGTTGGCAAGGAGTGTACCGAAATTTCGTATTTTGGCATCGATTTCAAGAATAACTGATAATTTGTTCAGAGATACGGTCCGTTAGAAAAAACTGCAATTTGCTTATGCTGTTTACGACCTTCATAGTTGTTGGGCGTCAATGGCCGCCATCTTGGATTCACTTTGCTCATAGGCCGAATGACTGAAGTTCTTGC